GTGAAACCATTGACAGTCAAATGGTTTTGCATGGAGAGTCACAATCTCACAAACATTTCCACGAATGATGTCCAAACCACGACAGAGCCTCCAGTGTGGCTACAGATGGCTGGAGACACTCACTGTTGTACCTCTCTCCTCAGCTCCTCTGCACATAGTGATGACACTTTGAACCAAAACTTTCAAATTTGGAAAGTTTCATCACTCCATCAGACCCGTTGCTACTGATTTTTCAGTCCAGTTCTTGTGTAACATAGCATGACAAGACCTTTTCTGCCTGTTTCCCTTTCTTAAGAATCGCTTCTTGACAACTATCCTTCCACTGAGACCGTTTCTGATGAGGCTTCATCGAGCAGATAGTAGATCAAACAAAGGGTCAAATACAGCTCTCAGATCCTGTGTCAGGTCTTTGCTGGATTTAGTTCCCATTTCTTGAGGGCATGACTTTCAGATACTATTCGTGATTAAACATACAATTTAAAACTGGTTGTTTGCTAAGTTTTCTGTATTGTGTAGACACAACAATGGTTCACTCCTACAGTTACAGTTGAAAATCTCTACAACACGATTTAAATTCTAAATTTCTTTACAAGGTAGACAGACTGCACCATGACAGGAAGCATGACAGGAGACTTTTGAGAAGCACCGGTGCAATTTAAACTCATAAATTGCATCCTAATTTCCTTCGGGATTAATAAAGTATTCTGATTCTGATTCTGATTAAACTCCTGGATGTTATCAGGTGAAAATATGAAGTTCTCCTGGCGGTTGAATCATCATTCAGCCTACATGCTGACATGCAGCCAGTTCAAAACTCCATTTAGTACTCACACATTTTCACAGTGAGTCCTAATGTTACACCAGCTTTCATACATTCATAATGAACAGAGAAGAGCACAGAGTGAATCGCGAGGTTCACGTATTGATCTGTCTAAAGTACGTCTGAGCTGCTTCACAGATGTGGGTTTGTTTTATGATAACAGTTACTCTAATATAGATCCCGTCTATCAATATAGATACATTTGTATGCATGCATGCAAGTGTTTTTGTCTTAAATAATCTGATGTTTACAATTTTAAAATATTTCATTGTTTCTAATTGTGTTTTTGTGTTTCAGGAGCAGGAAATAAAGTATCTTGTTTCTCTTGTCTAGCTTGTCAAGTGTGCATTCTGTTAAAATGAGAAGAAATGTTTAGTAACTAAGGGAGTCCCTTTGTGACATGATGGAGAGTAGCTACTGGGTCACAAACTGAACTAATAAAATGTTCATTCCTGTGCAGCGTGGGTCTATTTTAACATCAGCAGCTTCTATTGAACGCATCATAAAGGCACCTCAGGAGTGTCAATACTGCTGGCTGAAATCATGAGTCCTGCCCAGACACTGCGAAGTAACAACACTATGAAGTTTGCAGGCAGTGGTGCTGAATAGCGGTGCAACACTGCCCCCTGCTGGATGAAGTGTTTCCATCAGCTCTAGACAAAATATGCAGCTTTGAGCAAAAGAATGGCAGGGCTATAAATACACACGGGGGTAATCAGGGGAATAGGACACAAGAGGGTAAGAAGACAAAACTGAAAGTGTAGCATAATATAATCTAAAATCATGTTACTAGTTTCTTCTTTTTCTTCTTCTTCTTTTTTCAGCTGCTCTCTTTAGGGGTTGCCACAGCAGATGCAACATCCTCTTCTGTCCTTTTCTTTTCCTCCTGCCAAGTAGCTCCATCTTCAACATCCTTTGTCCAATACATCTGGTATCTCTTTTTTCCACATGTCCAAACCGTCTCAGTCTTGCCTCTCTAATTGTCTCCAAATTGTTACACTTGAGCTGTCCCTGCACTCTGTGTGTTGTGGTCACATCTTCAGCTCTGCCACCTCCTTCTCAGCCTCCTGTCTTTTTGTTAGTGCCACCGTCTCCAAATCATGCACCATCTTGTAAACCTTCTCTTTTACTCTTGCTGCTATTTCTCTGTTACAAATTACTTGTGACTCTAGTCTCCACCTGCTCCATCCTGCCTGCACTCTCTTCTTTACCTCTGTCATTGCTTTGAATGGTTGAAACCAGGTATTTAAACTCATCCACCTTCCCTACCTCTACTCTTCTTTGCTTTTACACCTCCCTCCTACAAGTGTATTCAGTCCTGCTTCTACTGACGAGGAAGAGTAAATCATGACCTTACTTCAATGAACAAATAAAATCAGACAAAAATTAATTTTAGATCTTTTCTTTCTTCTTGGGTGCTTTGATTTGTAGCTTCTTTATCTGCAGTTACATCTTAATCCAAATGTCAGACTCTCATCTTCTTTTTCTGAAGTGCCCAGTCTGTATTTTAGTGAGTGATGTCACTGTCTGCTTTACCCTCAATTCTAAGCCTCAACATAGCGATGAAGGCTGTGAACTAATGGAAATAACTGACGTACGCCAAGGGAAAACTTATTAACTCATTGCATCCTTCTCCCTCCCCGAGCGGGAATAGTTAGAAGGACCCATCTGGAGCTTAATATTGTATAGGGGTTCGACAGAGAAATAAGAGAATAGCATTTCATCATGTCTGAGTGTATCTAACAAGGCTTTCTCGAGCTCTGGTCTTGTCGGAGTTTATTCGAGAAAATAAACAGTTCAGCCCCAGATCTCAAGAAACAGAGGGAGCGGCTCATCTGAGTAAACCATGAGATTAATTCACACCCACGATTATTGTTGGGAGGAGAGAGAGATGCTGACTAACATCAACCAGCTCGTAGTGTATCTGTCAGGGTACTTAGAGCGTTTGGTGAACTCATTAGGCAGAGGTACCTAGCATGAATCCAGTGGAAAATGAATATTTTCCAGCCTTTTTCATTTGGGTATTTACTTTAGCAGTTTTCTGCCTTTGGGAATTAAAGCAAAGGACTTGGGCATTATTCATAGAAATGCCATGTGAAAGCACTTTATGCAACTTTACACTAGAGAAACACTACATTTTGACTTCAGTACATTTGGTTTTTACTTTTCAGATTAAGATGTTACATTAAATGCATTAAATTTAAATATACAGTCATGTGAAAAAAAGTGTTTGCCCCCTCCTGATTTCCTTTTTTTGTATGTTTGTCACCCTTAAATGTATCAGATCATCAAACACATTTAAATATTAGACAAAGACAGCACAAGTAAACCCAAAATGTAGTTTCTAAATGAAGTGGTATGTATCGCATCTTTGGAAAGTTATGTTCAATTTCTATAGCCACATCCTGCCACACCTGCCACACCTTTTCTTAAACAAGAAATTGCTTAAATAGGACCTGCCTGACGAAATGAAGTAGACTTCAAGATTCTCAAAAGCCAGACGCCATGCTGTGATTCAAGGAAATTTGCAAACAAATGAGAAACAAAGTAACTGCGATCTCTCAGTCTGAAAGGGTTGTAAAGTCATTTTTAAAGCTGTGAGACTCCAGCAAACCACAGTCAGAGCCTCCCAGGAGTGGCAGGCCGACCAAAATTACACTGAGAGCACAGCAACGACTCATCCAAGAGGTCACAAAAGACCCCAGATCAACATTTGCCTCAGTTATAGTCAGTGTTCATGACTCCACTATGAGAAAGAGACTGGGCAGATTTCCAACGCTGAAGGAAGATAAAGGCTCGTCTCAGTTTTGCTAGAAAACATCTTGATTATCCCTTCAGATGTTTGGGAAAATACTCTGTGGAAGACAAAATTGTAACTTTTTGGAAGGTTTGTGTCCCATTACATCTGGTATAAAACGAACATCATACCAACAGTAAAATATGGTGGTGTCAGTGTGATGTTCTGCAGCTGTTTTGCTGCCTCAGGACCTGGAAGACTTGCTGTGGTAAATGCAACCATAAATTCTGCTGTCTACCAAAACACCCTGATGGAGAGTGTCCAGCTGTCTGTTCCTGACCTCAAACTGAAGCGCACTTGAGTTCTGCAGCAGGACATTGATTCAAAACACACCAGCAAGTTCACCTCTGAATGGCTTATGAAAATCAAAATGAAAACTTTGACTTGTGGCCTAGTCAAAGTCCTGACCTGAATCCAACTGAGAAGCTGTGGCATGACCTTAAAAATGTAGTTAATGCTCGAAAACCCTCTAAAGTGGCAAAGACGAGTGGCCCAAAATGCACAGTGCTGAAAAACACTCACTGCCAGCTATGACAAATGCTTGATTGCAGTTGTTGCTGCTAAGAGTGGCCCAACCAGTCATTAGGTTTAGGGGGCAATCACTTTTTCACGCAGGGCCATGATGGTCTGAAATTTTCCCCCTCTTTATAATAAACATCTTCATTTTCAAACAGCATTTTGTGTTTACTTGTGTTAAGAATACTAAACCCAAAAAACTTTTATTTTGTATTTTTGACCTTCTTGAAACATCTCACAACCTCATACATTTATTTGCAACTATTAATGAGGGAATAGACTGTATATAAAGTAGTTAAAACAGGTTCCAGATTTTCCATTCATTTATAATTATTACTAGCCCTATTATCTTACACTAGATTACATCCACAGCAGAACGAGGGCTTTTAACACATTTATAAGAGTATATTTATCAAATCATTCTCATGCATTGCTTTTTTTAAATAGCAGTATCAGGGGTAGTTTTACTGTTTTCCATTTGCACTTTGTCTTCAGTGAAGTATTTGAGTTCTTTTCCCTCTTAAAATCAGGCAGGGATGTTATCAGAAAGAGTCTCGACTTTCCTGTTTGGAGTTAACTGTGCAGCTCCAGCCTAATGCCTGATCCACTTTCATTCATGGCCAGAGACATACTTCAGTCTAGTGTGTTTTCAAAAGTCTAAAAATGTATTAATGTCTCGCGTTAGAGCTGTAGACACTAAAACAAAATGCAATAGAACAGTGGCATAAAGGCTGTTTGAGAATTTGTGGCCTGACATCTGTTAGAAGAATTAACTGTCAGCAGTTTAAAAGCTGAAAGTGCAGAACAGACACAGAGTAAACTGTACCGTTCATTGTGTGCGCCTCAGTACACCATGTGCTATTCGGGTTACATTGCCTGGTGTGTTCTTTATTTATTACACAAATACAGCTGTATCGTGTCACGGATGATTCACTTGTCTGTCCAGAATGTCTCAGTAAGGAAATAAAAGCGGCACATGTCAGGCAAACACAGCAGAGTTTTTCCAGTCCGAGTACACCAAGAAGCCGGTGAAGCTGCTGTCTGTCTTGGTGCTGGAGTAAAATCCATTGTACTCTGAGAGAGCCATCTGCACCCACACCTGATCGCCGGGGATGAGGTGAAGCAGGGAGCCGCCTGAAAGAGATGCTGGTTTAGGCCAGTTGCCATAAAACTGAAAATAAGAAGCCACAGCGTGTCCGTTCTTCATCAGGTCGAACTGCAGGCTGGCGCGGTACACCGTGGCGTGGACGGCAAAGTAGTAGACTCCAGGGACTTTGCAGGTGAAGCGTCCCGTCTCTGAGTTGTAGTCGCCTTGTTCATTGATCAGGATGGTGTCAAAGCGGACTGCGTCGCCCACATTCAGGGGCGAGGTTTGGCCCTGAGAGAGTTTGACACTGAAGGCGGATTTAGGAGCCACTGCACACTCGCCCGGCTGCCCCCTTTCCCCCTTTTCTCCAGGGTCACCCCTGTCTCCAGTCAGGCCTCGCATTCCTGTCTCACCTGGAGAGGAGGAGGAGGTGCACAAATATGAGAATCCTGCACCGATTTATCACATGCTCACAAACAAATCCATATAAGTACGTACCTGGGGCCCCTCTCTCCCCTCTCTCCCCCTTTTCCCCAGGAGCAGCATCCCTCCCATCCCTCCCATCTCTCCCTGGCTGACCAGGACTGCCATGAACCCCAGGAGAGCCTGGGATACCAGGGTGGCCAGTACACAGACTGGGGGGGATCTTATTGTCCTCTAACTGGTTGGAAAGATGGACTTGTAGGACGAGGAGGGAGGGGAACAGGGACAAGAGTCTGAGTGAGGTCATTGCAGTCTCAAGGCTGAGAGAAAACGAGAAATGGAAAAAAACCAGATGAACAAGCACAAACAGATCTGTGCACGAGCAACACTGCATTACAGACAATGGGAAATATTGACCTGACTAAACAAAAGAAAACCACAACTCCCACTAAAATAAAACAAAACATTATGAAAATAACAGAGGGATGAAGAGCGCATGTAATTTCTGGAAACTGCAGCATACATAAACACCAAATGGGTGATTTACACACGATTTGTATTAGTTTTTTCGTCAGACAGGCTCTGACAGAGACTTGCAGAAATATGTCAAGTAGATTCAAACAGTCTCATCCTCTACGGAGTGGAAGCTCTCGTTTAAAACTCAACCTAACTGATTGATTGACAGTTTTATATCAGTCACAAAACTCAAATAACAACAAAACAAATTGTAAACAGAGTAAAAGTAAAAGACATCAGGTTTCCATGAATATCTCTATAGAACACGTAATTTACATGCTCCAAACTTATTTCACCCTATCTTCTTCAATAACAATATAATGTAATGACCTTGAATATTATAAACAATAATGCAAAACAGAGGCTTTTGTTAAAAAGTATAATATTTTGCCACTCACCACCTCACAGTTTGATTTATGGACAACATGTCAGCGTCTTAGATTTAGAGTAAAGATGGTGAGGGCTTCACTGAATTCGTTTCGGGCAGCGCTCCAATCATAAAAATAATCCCTTTGGGATTTGTTGGACCTGATTATCAAACAAACTAAATATCATGTTTGATCAGAAAGTACATTTTTTTTGTTCCCATATGTACGACAGAAAACAAAGTCACAGCTGTATAACAAAATATTAAAACACTTAATTGAGCATGTTTATGTATACGGTGCAAAAAAGCCACATGAGCATGCAGGGTGCAGGGAGGTTAGACCGGACCAGAGGGAAGTCATTTTAACTCTTTGCATTTACATAACAGCCTAGTTTACAGATTTACAGCAACGGTCATTTCTAAACAGGTCGTTTGTATGACACAGGCTGCGATATGATGGGCATCATAGACAATTTCCAGCTCAGGAGGTGGAAAAAAACATCTTCAACTACTCGTTTAGCAAAGATTAGTGAGCTCTACAAATCAAAACATTAATATTCTAAACAGATGTTTCATATAAAAGTTTGTTGACATGCTGAATACCAGCTGGCCTACTCAGAAACAACTTACAGTCACACCTAACACTCAAATTCTCTCTTTCCCTCCCTCTGCTTCCTGCCCGTCCCTGAACACAAGCGGCCTCGGCCCTCAGACGACTCTGTCCAGACACTCAGGTTATCAAAGTGCTAATCTCTGCTAACTACTCTGTATAAAGTGTGGAATGTTTTTAAAATATATATATTTGTCCTGCAGCACTTCAAAGGCTTTATCTTTCTTTTCCTGCCAGGTTTTCTCTCATCCAGGATCCAATCAAAGAAGAAGAGGAGATAAAAAGCTGCACTGTTGGGTCCTCTGCCTGAGAGCAGGAGGAGGAGGAAAGCTAACAGCTGTCTGAAAGCAGGTTTAGTAATGAAAACCTGCAGTTTGCGGTGTGTGACAATAATGAGAAAAGTCGGGTCTTGTTGGTCTCCTAATGGGAAGTTACCTTCACAACAGCTGCAGGAACAGAGAGAAGAGGGCAGAAAGAAGGACGAGGGGGGATAAAAGCAGAAAGTCAAGAGAGAGAAACTGTAAAAAAAAAAAAAAAAAAGGAGGAGGAGGAGGGATACTGAGTTACATGAGTTACATTTCTGCATTCTTGGCAGAAATAGAGAGCAGACATGAGAACAAATACTGGAGAGTCTGAGCAGATGTCTGCAGCCACTCCTCAGTAGGCCTCAGATGATTAGAAACATTTATGGTTTCAATAAAAGCACGAAAAACTCAATCTGCTGTTTATAGGCCACTAATATGTGAACCACAAGGTTCACTGGAGAGGATCGCTCAGTCCTCTGACTTACCATCTTTTCCTTTTTTCATGCAGACACTATCCAAAGCAGCACTGTAATCGCTTTGTTTTTGTACTTTTTTAAATCCAATCAGCATTTTTTTCCATCCAATCCACTTCACTGCTCTGAAGCTCTGATGGAAACTTAAGTTTTGCTACCTGGGTGGTTCAGATGAACATTTCAGAGCAGTTTAATGGTTTTATTGCAGCACCACAGCCATTCGGTAAAAAGTCTGGCACGTTGCCTTCAGGCCAGCTGGAGTTTGATGATGTTATCCACATTTACTGTAACTCAGTATCAGGCTGTTAAAGGCAAAGCTGCCTGCTTTATTATGACTCTCTCGTAGTGGGAAGTACTGTAACTAGGTAGAGACAGTAGACACAAATTCTAGTTATTTAATTTATACTCATTCAGCATGTTGCCATTGTTATTGTCATAGTTTTATTTTTACTGTACTACAGTGTCAGACAGCTCCAGATTCAGTCTGTAATGATTTAAATAAAGCTGAGGCATAAAGAAAACCTCCTTTCTGTGATAATAATCCAGTACTGTAAACACAGCAACATAAAAACTGTGTTATATTCTACTGTGTAGCAGCTGTGTACTTCTTCTTTTGATACTTGAGCATTTTTACTGCGCAATTCTCTCTCATAGTTGTAGCTGCGCAGTACATGACGCAATATGTGGAGAAAAAGAGCTTTTTGCTGTGAAATGAAAGCACTGATAAGCAGCTTTCATTGTTTAATTGTAGGAAAGATTCAAAACTTTACCAGATGATGCGCTGAAGTCTTGAAGTTCTGCTGCTTCTGATGATGATGATGACGACGACGGTGATGTTCGTATATGTGTGACCAGTGAAAGCTGTTCCTCCTGGTCAGAGAGTCCTGCTGGGAAAAACTGAAAGGAAATGGTAATGAAGCCCAATTAGAAACTGCGGTGGGTGGGTGTGTGTGTGTGTGTGTGTGTGAGAGGAGGAGCCGTGGGTGGAGGAGACATGCAGAGGAAAATATGTGATGTTAGTCCAGCACAAATAAGAGAAAAATGGAGCTGAAAAACAAGTGACAAAACCAGCGTGAGGGGAGTGATGAACGGAGGAGTGTTTAGGATGTTGCATAACAGTGTTGGGGGAAACTCTCCAAGGCAAAACCACAGAAAGTTCAGAGGGGCTGCAGTCAAAAGAAGCAAATGTCCCCAGAATGCATTGCTGCAGCTGAACCTAAGCTGTCCTCAAGCTTCGTTATACAAAAACGCTGCTGCCTACAAAGACAGAGCCTCAAAGAAAGGCAAACACGGACGTGTAATGTGATGCAAGGAAGTCAGATGGGCACGCACACATACACGGATTTTCGTCTCCCTCCTCTGTGATTATCTGCTTCCAAGGTGAAGTAATTTTCTCCATCCAGATAGCATCTTCTAATATCAGGCCTCCACTCAAGCAAGACTCTGACAGTAATCCTCTTTTCCCATGTAATCCTTTGCTGGTAGCGTTTAGTTGATAAGGGAAGAGGTCTTAATATGCTTTTGGCAAAAGGAGGCGGAATTTGAGCTGGTTACTTTTTGCAGCTTCCAGAGGGGTAAAAACAACATGTTTCACGGTTTTCATGCAGCACTGACCCCGAAAGGACTCAGCCTGTGCCAGAACTGGACATGGTAGAGTTTGAGACCACAGCACTCTGAATCTATGTGGAGAAAACAGAGTGAAGCCTTTCAGCAACGTGCAGTTAGCTTCCACATCGAGCAAAGTGAATACATAGCTATAAATGGTGTATTTGATCTTTTGCATTTGCAGAGGGATGGTGGTGTCGCTTTGAGGGTCAACATTTTGGTCCATGTGAAATACCTGAAAAACTATTTGATAGAATGCAGTAAAAGTTGCACATACATTCAAAAGTAGTTATATACAGTCTCACATGAACAACAATATATGACATATTACAACTTGTCATTATCCATCCATCCATCCTATTCCGCTTATCCAGGGCCAGGTTACGGGGGCAGCAGCCTAAGCAGAGACACCCAGACCTCTCTCTCCCCACCCACCTATTCCAGCTTGTCTGGGGCAACACCAAACGCGCCTCCGCAAATCCCTACTTTATCCTGGTGGAGGGGTTTGTGTCTCCCAGGGATCCCAGGGGCTATGTTTTCCGGGGGGCTTCTGGTCCCCCGGAAAACTGGTCCTGGGTCAGGTACCAGACAATGAGCGATTCAGAAGACTTGGTGTTCTATGAGTAGAACTCCAAGGGAACAGTTCACCCTGCCTGGGATAGGGTTACCAGGGCCTCGCCCCGAAGCCAGGGCCGGGGAGGGTGCCCGAGGATGAGTGTCTGGGGGCCGAGCCTTAGTCCATGGGGCCCAGCCGGGCACAGCACGAAAAGGGGACATAGGCCCAACCTCCTGCAGGCCCACCACCCACAATCGACACTGTGGGGGTCGATTGTGTGCTGAGCAGTGGCCAGGCCCTGGTGGGCCAGTCCCCAGCTACCAAGTCCAAAACCTGTCATGGTTTCTTTAACAAAACCAAAGCCAAAATGCGTAAACAATGTGGAAATATCAAACACATCAGATTACAACTAAGAGGGTAAATAGCAGGCTATACTGCTCAGACTCGACAGGGCTCATGTTAAATGTTAAAGTCCTTTGGTTTGCAAAACTACAAACCAAAAGACTTTTGGGACAATGTCCTTTGGACAGAGGAGAGAGTAGTGAAGATGTTTAGCCATAATGCACAACCCTTGAGTTGGAGAAAACCAAACACAGCATATCAGCACAAACACCTGATATGTCAAGCAGTTGGTATGAGGTGTTTGGGGTGGAGGGGAGAGAGTTTGGGTTTGAACTCCTCTGTCTGACAGATAAAGCTTGGCTGAAATTAGGTCCTTCACGTGATCCCAGCAGCAAATCTACAAGAATCAGGGTGCTGCAAAGTCCAGAGCTCAACCCAACTGAAATGTTGTGATGGGATCTTAAAAGAGAGCTGTGCTTAAATGAATGTGACAAACCTCAAGAGTGGGCCAAAATTTCTCCACAACTATGTAAGAGACTGATAAAGTCACACAGAAAATGATTACTTCAAGTTATTACTGCCAAATGTGGTTCTACAAGCTATTGAATCACAGGGTGTACTCAGTATTTCTGCTTCTGCATTTTTGCTAAATAAACAATGACGCCATGTAATATGTCATGTGTTATTGGTCATCTGTTCATTATATTGACCACTCAAAGTGCCTTATATAAGTCACATTTAGGCTGTTAAGGTTCAAAATTGAGGAAGGAGAGTACAAACCACCCATGGTCCAGAAGGTCTTGGTCAAACAATGATTTTTAATGAATACACACGTGTGGGAAGACAACTCTGTATGCCGACAGCAAGTAGTCTTCAACTTAATCAAAGCATGAACAGATATTTTATAGCATCAGGGTTTGTTTACTGACGCCCCTTCATGCGTCACAGATACATTTTATACATAGATCAGATCAACACCACAATGACTTTTAACCCAGAAGATCATCTTCTATTTTCATGGCTGGTACTTTCCGTTCTTGTCTTAAAGTGAATTGTTCCTCTTTCTTACCGAGACATGACTAATCTCTCCTCTAAATAAATCTAACTCATGTGTGTGTGTATGTTGACCTCACATGCTCTTTCTCAATTCACCTGTTGCACTTCTGACCTTTTACCAGACCAGAGGCTCACTGAGACTATATGTATGTCTTCTACTAAATAAATGTTTTAACCAAGAACCTCTACTTAAACCTTAATATAAAATGATCTGATATATAAGTGTTTTGTAAGCATGTACTGCAATTCCTTCTATGGCTCCAAGTCACTTGCACAATAGATTGTCCGGACATCGCGCCGAACAAAGCTTCCAACCCCCAATTAATTGACCAAGCTCCAACTCTTTAATAAGCACAGATATGCATTGTGTATAAAATAGTCATAACTGCACCTGAAATACAAGGTCAACATAATAACTGTATGCATAACATCTTAAGGCCTTCTTAAAGCTATCTGTTACATTGTTAAAGCCTCGTCTTAGCCTGCTGCTCAAAATAACTTTCACTTCTGCAAAACTCTCCAAGCCTGTTTCCTGTCCTGTTACTTTTAGCCTTTCTGAAAGACACACTGTTCAACCCCTGAATGCAATATAAACTCCAGATTATATTATTAATGCAATGGTAATGATAATAATTATTTAGCAATAGCAGTAAAATAATTTCCCTACTCCACATTCCCTCTCTCGACCTCTGGAACACCAGAGGTCGCAATACATTGCGTCCTCGCTCAGCAAATCAGACAACCTCCTGTCATCTAATTGGTCCAGTAATAAACACCAGCTCCCATTCGAGAACACTCCATGTGTAAGTTTTGGTTTTCTCAGTCCCTCTCTGGTGGTTCAGCAGGCCTCGAGATCTCCAGGATCCTCGCCCCTCCTGTGGTCGCCGAGATCTTCTGCAAAGGAAGCAAAACACCTTTTCCTGCATCTCCCTAACTTATCCTATCCGGGACTCTTTAATCAAAAGCATGATCCTAATTATCTTCCTGACTTTTTAACTTGTATTTATATATATTCTTCAACGTTACTCATCATTTTAAAACTCTTTAAGCGCTGCTTTCACGTCCGGTTGCTCGCTCTATTTTCCCTTATCTGATCATCAACATCCTTTACACAAACTGTCCACCTTTTTAACAAAAAATCATTAGAACCAGCCTATTCTACTAAAAGCTCCAAAAGAAAAACAACCACTTTAATCAATTAAGTTTAAGCATATAAGCAATTACTCCTGTATACATTTCATCATAGCTAAATGCTGCCTTGAAACAACTCCTGTGTGTTAACACTAACTTCATTTTAACCTCACATTTCCTATGTTATAACCCGTTTTTTGGTATAGCCTTTTTATTTCATTTGCTCCTTTTAATGTAACAATACCTTCTAATTCTAATTTATCAGACTTAACCAAAAGATATGCTTTCCTTCCTCTTTGGTCCTTCTTTAAGTTCAATTAAAAGCTAAATGGATTTGAGGCCTTTTGCCTGGAATCAATACTGTCATGTGTGTTTCTGTGTAATATCTGTCTGTGTAAGCCTACATTATAACCACTACTTCTAAAGATCAAAAAAGAAATCAAACCTGTTCTCCTCCTTCAACCCTCACTAATTTTCCCCAAAGGATATCTTTTTGTCAACGTGTCCCACAATTTCCCTCTAAGATTTGTACACAGCTTTAAAACCCTGGTATTGTATCTTCTAAACAGGATTCAGTTCACTTTAATCCTTTAACCTTAACATAAAAATAACAGTTTCAGTTTTACCATATCCAAATGATCAAAAACCCAAAAGGTCCTAAAATGATCCTAAATTATTAAACAATTAAATTATTAAACCCTAAACCCCCCTTTATCTTGATACATTTCATGTGTCAAGATACTATACAAAACTTAAAAATGCTCAGTTTCCCCACTCATGTTCCAATCTATGTCATAAAAATAAACTTAAAACAGAACAGTTATCAGTCATGTGTTTCTACAATTAATGGTAACTGAGTTACATCAAAAAATATTTCCCCTTTAGCATTTGGCATTCTCCCAACAATATACTATAATCCCATAATCTAACCCCAGTCAACAAAACAAAAATCTTCTCTGGTGAAAACCAATTGTTTGTCCACATTTATTCATCCACACCTTCATCCAGTCACACATTCACATGCAGTCACACCATATATTCGCTAATAGTGGAGCGTCCCACGCCAGATTCTCCACCCTCAGCAAAATGAGCTCAGTCATTTTTTATTTTCCATAGGAAATATTTCTTTATGCTTTTGGACTGGATTGACTCGCATAAAATCCTTTTTACAGGGACTTACGACCTGAATAGTCCCCAGGTAGCTTTCTCCTCAGCCAATTGTAATCTGGAAAGCCCCCTTATATTTGCTCTTCCCGAGAATTTTCAGCGCCGTTATTCACTGTTGCAGGCCTGCTTAAAACAGAAATGAAAAAAAAAATAGAGCTGATTATTAGCTCATGAGAACACAAAACAAAATCACCTGACAGGTTTTCTTTAAGTGCA